AACAGATGGTCATCCACCTGGCATCAAGGATCCATAGGAACAATTATAATGATTCCAATCAAGCTGACTGCCTGAGTTCCTGGACCTTCTCCTTTTTGGAAAGACCATTCCAGTGGTAGCAAAAACTGTTTGGGAGCTTGTTCACACCAATCCACTCGATCGGAAGTGAGGGAACCATGGCCTCGGGGGCTGGGGGGGAGGGAGGGGAGGAAGCCCAAATATATCCTAAATAATGCCTAATTGCGGGCTTAAGGGCTTATTTGGGCTCCCTCCCCCTCCCCTCCCTCCCTCTCAGGCGTCATGATGGCCCAATTCTAGGGGTAACTTCCCCATTCGTTCCAGGGATCCGGATCTTTCTAGAAGACCACCAAAAGCCCTGCAAAAATGGATCCGGGTTTTGAAAGAACGATGACTGAACGGAATGGAAAAGGACTCCACCAGCCGCCCCTCCCCTCCGCCGTCAGCCCAAGTCCGAGCCTGGCGCCGGAAGGCTCCCTGGAGATGGCCAACCTGGCGGTGAGGCACGTGGATTCCGAGCTCGCGGAGTCCACGCGCAGCGCCTACCAGCAGGAACGGAAGAGAAAAACGCGCGCTTGCTTGCGCGGGCGCTTGATAGAGGGGTCGGCGCTTGTTTCCTTCGTCTGGTGTTTGCTTGTTTTTCGGGAGGGGGCGGTGGGGTTTCCTTTCCTTCGGGATGATTTTGTGAAGTTTTGTTTCTGGGGATGGTCAAAGTCAGAACATGGAATTGGTTGTGCTTGTTTTTTCCTACTGAACAGGGGCAACTTTGATCGTGGTTTATTTTCATGGGGGGGCCAGTTCCTGTTTGCCGCGTTTGCCTTTAAGGTCCTCGTTTTGCCGGAGCGTGGAAATCTTGGGGGGTTTAAAGGGAAGCCAAATGGAAAGCAACCCATGGGGGCCTAGGGGCACCTGTTTGGGATTTGGTTGGAGCCAAGATGAAACTACACGTTTTTATTGGGCATTGAGCCGAAATGTGGTGAAGCAACGCAAAGCAAAGTTGGCCCCCACTGGAAGCCAAGAATCTGTCGTTGAGAAATGATCCCAGCGGCTTTCCCACCGGGCTGGTTTGTTTGCTTGCCTTGTTTCTTAGCCTTGCCTGATCTCATTTATGTTTCAAAAAAGGGGGGGAAAACTTCATGCGGCATGTTCCTTTTTTCCCTTCAAACCCAGCAAAAACAAAGGAGAACCTGGCACCCTCCAAACGAAAAACATATGGCACCCTCCAAACCAAAACCCCACCCCTTCGGTGTTTGCCACCCCACCCCCCTTCCGCCGATCCCCGGACCCCTCCGCCGTCCCTTCGAGCTCTCCGCATCGAAGCGTCGCTCCGATCGATAGGCACGGGAGCTCTTCAAGCGCGCGGCGGAGGTGGTGTCGCGCTACGCGGAGGTGGCGGGCCAGGTGAGCCACTCGGTGCTGCCGGATCTGCGCCTGGCAGTCGACGAGCAGGCGGCAGATCCGGTCGGAGCGTCCACCGCTTGGAGAAAAGGTCCCCCCAGCTAGGTGCCCTTTTTTACCGTTTCTTTTTCGGGTTTCAACCTACTAAAATGGACTGCAGAACAAAAGTTGGTACCCTTAATCGAACCTCTCTGCTGGAAGACCTCGGTGCGAGAGGTGGCATGGGTGGAATGACCCTGAAATCACAGGTTTTGTGCCACCGCCTGGAACGTGCTCCTTCTGGATGAGCCAACTAGGGGCAAATTGGGGGGTAAATCATATTTATTGGTTTGATCTGGGGGTCTGTGGCGGAGGTCTTCGGAAAAGCCATCAACTTGTGTGTTTTTGTTCTTTGGGGGTTTAAGGAAATTCCCGGAAGCCGTGATTCCCCGAAAACTTGCAGGAGGCGGCAAGAAGCTGGCGAGTACGTCACACGAAGTTCTACATTTGTCCCTGGAACGCCCTCTTCGAAGAAGAGTCCAGACCCACTTGCAAAGCTCTCGAGCACAGAGAGAGCCATTTCACAAAAGGCAAAGCTTCTCCAAGACAAATGTCTGAATCACCGGATTCTGAGTGCCCTTCTCAGCCCAGGTTGGCAATTTGGATTCAACCCGCTCTGGAAGCATTCAAGTGAAAGGCAATTGATTGTTGGGCGGTTTTGTCGGTGGTTTGAGGTCTCTGTTGGCCCGCCATGCTTGTCCGCAGGAGCCGGCCTTTGCAGAGAGCCTGCTGGAGATGGTGAGGAAATGGGTGACGGACGCTTGGCTTCATGTTGGGGATGAGTTGAAACTTCGGACTATCTAAGTGCAATGGATGAAGCTCTGACAAAAAAGCAGACCCATCAAGTGCCCATATCACAACAATGCAGATGCAACGCTTTAACGCGCAGCCCAGTGCGCTGGCTCACTTGCCATGCTGCTATTGCATTTTGGCAAGACTTAAGGACAGGCGGATTTAAGCGAGATGTGGCCAGACACGCCGATCAGGTCTTGTGCAAAAAGGGCACAAGCTCAGTTGGGGCCAAGCTGCCAAGTGCGCCGCAATCCCAATACATATCCAACTGCAGAGGCTGGGCCTGGCCGGATTTGGCCGTGGGTTAAAGCCAATGGGATCCCATTTTGGTTGGTAGGTGTATTCACCACCCATTCTGGGCTTTATTTTAGTGGTTGGATTGGGATGTTTGGGGGTACGGGACTTTGGCCCATGGCCACATGGCTAGTATTTATGAGCCTTATCAAGCGGGCAACCCCTTTCGCGGCAACGAAGCCTCAGCCGAGCCGAGTTCAGCTGGCCTCAGGACATGAAGAAAGACAGCGACGTCATCCGTGCCAACTACGGGGTGCGGGGAACGTGGGCATTTTAGGTCCGTTCGGGTCTATGGCATGCGTAGGGTTTGTTTTGTTGACTACGTGTTTCTTTTCATGTGCGCCCTTGGTGTGTTTGTTGCGTTTGTCAGCCGCAACTTACAGTTTCAGTAAAGACCTTGGAAGCTAACTTGTAGCATGCATCAAGGCCCTTAACGTGGCGGCACAAGAGAAATGACCTCAAAGTTCCCATGTCGGACTTGTTTAAAGTTCCGTTTGGTTTGCTCTTGAAATTAGCCTGAAATTAACTCGAAAAGCGCAGCACACATTGAAATCAGGGGACTCGTTGTTGGATGTGTCACAAAACTTGTTGTAGAGGGGACTCAGGGCATTTGAAGGGAGCCATCTCGAATTTGTTGCTTTTAGAGTACCCTTTGTGGGGTTGGTTCAAAAGCCAAACCAAAGGGACACCAACAACTTTTTGTGCCGCCCCCATTTGTTGTTTATCTTTTTTCAGGGTACCCCTTTATTGGTGGTGTTTTGGGTTTTCAAGCGAGACCAAGAGTTTAAAAGGAAAGCCACCAATTTGGGACCCGGTCCGATTCCTAAAAAACGGAACATCGCAGCAATTTTGAGAGGGACAGGGTTTGCTCCATTTCCCTTTTTGGGTTACCTCTAAAAGTGGCGATCGTTCCAATGGAAACCGCCAAGAAATTGATCAACTTTTGATTCGGGTATATCCGATGGAGCTTTTTGGGTCACCTCCCAAAGTTGTCTTGTCAATGGATACCAACAAATTGATCAACCTTTTGATTCGGAGAAATATGGGCATCCGGTGACTCTGGTCTTCCCGGCAATTAGCTCCCCTTTGGGATTCTTTGCCTGTTTGGGGTCTCTCTGTTTTTTTGGTCCGCGAACCAGGCAAAAAATATATTTGTTTTTTGCTGGGGTCCTAAATGTCCAGCTCCAAGTTGTGAGGAGCTCCAGAGCACCATCGTCTCCCTGGCGGACCGGGCGCTGCGCAGCAAGCAAGAGGCGGATGTGAAGCTGGCACAGGCCGTGGCCACCGCTGCACGGGAGGCGACGGGTGCGGGGGATGCCCGGGGACTCCCCGCGCCTCGCCCCAGCCCAGGTGCCCTTGAACCCGTTTTTTGGGGGGAGGGTTTCCCTACGAAAATAGACTACAGAAGAAAAAAGGTGCCCTGATTCTAACCTCTCTGCTGGAGGACCTGGGCTAGTCGAATTAGGTTTAGGGGCATGGAATTGGGGGGTGACCCCCAGAGGAATTCCCTTTGGTGGTGGTTCCGTTTTCACTTTTTTGGGGAGTACTGAGATGGGGGACCCCCATCTTCTGATCTCCCTCTTAAGGTAGGGGGGGATCTTAAAAATCAAAGGATAGGGCTAGCCGTTAGGCCCGTTAGGTCCAAAGTCAGAACCTCTTGGCTGCTACTTGGATCTTTAGATTTCAACTCTTTGAGGAAATCAAGGGGTTCTCCGCGAAAGCCACAAAAAGTTTAACTTTTTGCAGAGGGGTCAACAGCGACCAAGACCTGACTTTGCAGATTCTTGGCCTCAGCCCCCCCCCCCACGCAAAAGGAGAGCAGGATAATGGAATGAATGTGCCTGCTTGCCCCGCAATGCACCTCAATGCCAACAGATGGGTACTTGATCTGCACGGCAGATCAAATCGGATCGGGGTGAGAAGCCCCAATACAGGGATATCTTTCCCATTCTTTCTAGGGATCCGGATCTTTCTGGAAAACCACCACAAATTCTGGGGAAATGGTTCTGGTTTTTCATAAAAGAACGATGGCTGAAAAGACTGGAAAAGGAATCAACCCCCAGGAAGGACCCCTTGACAGGGTTGTGTCCTTTCGGTTACCCCCCCCCCTCAAAATTATCCAAAAAGGGACCTATTTTGAGAAACACCCAACCTTCAAGGCTTCGCCAAAGCCTTGCCATGCCTCCCACGGATCAGGCAATGGTGCCAGCAGAGAAGAACTCCACGAAGACTGGCTGCACATTGGACCAGCAGCCGCAGTTCCAGGTGAGATCCGAGGGCCGAGTGCCGAGGGCAATGTGGCTGTGGTTGTCACAACCGTTTTGGGATCCCATTTTGGTTGGTAGGTGTATTCACCACCCATTCTGGGCTTTGTTTTAGTGGTTGGATTGGGATGTTCACTCTTTTGTACGGGATTTTGACCCATGGCCATGTGAGGCAACTTGTGACGTTGTGACAACTGCAGTTACAGCCATCAGCCAAGTTGTTAGATTTCCCAGAGTTTACTGACTGAATTTGAATAAGACGAAGCGAAGTGTAATCAGAAAGCCTCACCTGACGGACGTCGGGATTTTCACCTTCAGCTCTTTGGGGAAAAAAAACATGCGGTTTCCGACCAATCAACAAACGTTGTTGTCCGGTTTTGCATGGGTTGCGTGGGCAAAAGCTGCCTCACACCTTGCCTAGTCCCCCAGTAGTGCCCTTTTACCATTTTTTGGGGGAGGGTTCCCCTACTAAAATAGACAGACAGAAGAAGAAAAAATCGGGTACCCTTATTCTAACCTCTCAAATCTGGAGGACCACCTTGTTGCTGTGTCCTTGGGCTTGGCTTTGAGCCGAAAGCTTCAGGTGGCCACAAGAGATCCACCAGGCCCGGAGGTGGAGGTCATCGTGGAGGACTCTGCTGAGAGCTGGGCGAACATCGACAGCAGCGTAGCTCCAGCCGCACGAAGCCCGCCAGTGTGGAATCCCAAATAGGCGGTTGTGGTCGTGGAAGAAAGGATTGCACAAACAGGGAGCTTTGCACCAACCGCGGGGTTTAGTGATCAGGGCTTTCAGCATTTGGAGTATCAAAGGGTGTTTCTGTTGGCTTCATCCGTTCCTCCAGTAAGGTCGCCACATCGTATTGCTTTTCCACTGGGCAGAAGACGCATGCTTGGTTTTTTTGTTTTCGTGGGGACTGTGCGACGACCACCACCTCATTCTGAGGGCCCCTGTGCTGCTTCTGAATGCTATGCGTCACTTTTGCCATGGCTCCTGAAGGCTATGGACTACCGGGGGGCTGGCACAGCTGTTGTTTCAGCCTTTGGATGGGGGATTAACTAGCTGCCAGGATACTTGCCGGTGCGCTATGACCCACTTGCCGGGAGTTGGGGATGATCCCCGGCTTTGGGGGAGTTGCCCGAAAGGAAGCCACGAGGGGATGGTTTCTGGGGGTCGTTCCAAGCCTCATGTCCGAGGTGTCTCAATGGCTCCCCACCAGCTCGGGCATCGCCTCCGGCTTCAACAGCACGGACTACATGGCTCTTGCGCCTGCGGCGAATTTGGCTGTGGCTCAACAGGGTACCAAAACCTGCGGTTTGATGGAACCCTGGTAAGTGGAAACATGGGTACCAAAACCTGCGGCTTGCTCTGTTTAATTTTGAGCCACACCCAGGTTGATTCAGCCAGGTCGGGAAGTAGGAAGCAAGCTCGAAGAGATCAATCGTGTCGAATGCCAAGCAGACACAGCTGGAGGTCTGTTCAAGTTGGGTGATAATCAAGTGATAACTTTATTCACTGCAGAGGCTTTACTTTGGTGCATTTGGCCAAGGGATGTTAATTCGGACTTTAACTTTTTGATCCAACTGATGGGGTTTCCATTAAGCCACCAGAAGTTTCATTTTAGGGGAGCAGAAAGCAACGGAGCTTTTATTCAGTGCGAAAGGATTGTTGCGTGGTGTTCAACGCGCCCTCCCTGGGCCCCAGGTGCCATACCAGCCGAGCTACGATGCGAAGGATGCCAAGGCGAGGATTCTTTCGGGTAGCACACCGGAAAAGTGTTGGGGGTTCAAGCCACCATGAAGACAATGAAAGTTCATAGAACCAAAATGTTTTTTTACCTAAGGATTGAACCAGTATCCCAAGCCACCATAAGTTCATAGAACCACAATGTGTTTTACCTAAGGATTGAACGAACCAGTCTCCAAATTAGGTCCATCCCAAGGCCATTCTTTAAGTGGGGCATAAATCCTAGGGAAAGAGGATCGATCTCCTTGCGATGTCTTTTTGGTTATGGCCGCTGAGCAGCCATTTGGCGCGAAACTCATGGAGCTGCAGGAAAAAAACGAAAGCAAAGGGACATGGTGGCTTTGAATTCTGGTCGAAAATGTCGACTGCCCTTGAGCTTGCACGTGTGTCAAGCATGTCGCATGGAGTGGTATTGGCTGGTGACCCCGCAAACGGGGACCTTTAATAGAGGATGCACTCGGATATCAAGATCAGAGACTTGCTGTTGTACTCGCCAACATGTAAGACGCCAGCCGCAGGAAAGCAGTAGGAAAGCATGTGCCTTGTGTGCTCACAAGCATCTTCAAATATCTTTCACATTGGCGTGTTATTCAGGGTATAAGCTGATTGCCACATCGTTGCTTTCCCTTTTTGCTGTTTTCTTCTGCCTGGTCTCAGATGTGGAAGAAGCATGCTTTAGTTGACCGCAAGCATTTGTTTGATCCTGCTTGTGTTTCCATAGCATTCAACACATGGTGCCTTTGGTGGCTCTCCATGTTTCTTTTTTTCAGGGCGTGACAACCAAGGGAACAGAAACGCATCCACAAATCAACAGGCACTCAGATTGGTCAGTCTCAGGGCCTCCTCTCTTGGGTCTCCGGGTCCAGGCGGCGGCAGAAAGGGCCGCCAGCAGCTCCAAGCAGTTGCTGCGAGCGCTGCACGAGCTGCGGCGCGTGGACTCCATCCTCGAGGGCTGCTGCTGGGAATGCGTGGTCGGTGGGGGGGGGGGGCAGGGCATGGGGGGGCAGAGGCCTGAAGGAAGTGGCTCCCAAGCTTCGGCATTTGATTCCGCAACCAGATGGCCGTGGTTGTCAAAACCCATGGGATCCCATTTTGGGGGTTTCGGTGCACCACCCATTTTAGTCCTTAGTGGGGATTGGGATTGACCCATGGCCACATGGGATGAAAGTGACGTCCAGCCCAGGTTTTGGCATGAAACAATGAAACGAGCCGGGGAGTCGGGAGCCGGGGGGGGGGGCGTATGGCACACTCCGAGAAAGGCTGGAAGGACAGCCAGTGTTTGCCTCGAGATTCTACATTTGTGATAAAAGCTGAACCGTTTGCATCTCCGTTTGTTCCCTTCCAATGTTCTGCCTCAGGGTGGACTCCAGATTTGGTTTAGTCGCCACATCCATGAGACCACCTGTTTGACTTTGGCTCACATTAGCTATTGGCCACATATCACAAGACGATCGAGCACTGCTGGGCTCATACCAAGCTGTTCCTAACTAGGTCCCCCGGTAGTGCCCTCTTGAACCCGTTTTTTGGGAGAGGGTGCCCCTACTAAACTAGACTACAGAAAAAATCGGGTACCCCTACTCTAACCTCTCTGGAGGACCTAGATAAGGCTTCAACCTGCCAGGTAAAGCAGGGGCTAACAAAGCGGCTGAGTGGCCTGCAGAAGTCCAAGTTTGCAGTGACTCACGTACCACCGGCCGGAGTCAACCTGGGAATGGTCAAATTTAGCTCGAAAAGCGCCCTGTGCATGCCCATACAGCGACTAGGTCCCCCAGTAGTGCCCTTTCTCTCCCCTGGTTTGGTTGGGAGAGTTTCCCTACTAAAATGGACAGCAGAAAAAAATCGGGTACCCTTATTCTAACCTCTGTACTGGAGGACCTAGGTGACGGAAACTCAACAAAAGTTTCCCCCAAAAAGTGAGCTTCACATTCCCTCAGAAGTGGGACACCCCTTCTTTCCGCTGCTTCCTGGTGGTTGTGCACAGGAGGCGTGTCATTCTTGGTCAGTGCTTATCACAAACTATTGACATGTCACTCCCCTACAGGAACATGGATCCCCAAAAACTTTCCAGAGAGAGCGGCAACTCCTTTCGGGGTCCCCTTTTTGGGTTCCTTCCGGAAGTTTGTGGAGGAGTATATCGTGCATCTATGCACATCTCATGCATCGGCGGTCCCATCGTGCCCTTCCGCCGCCGAGGCTACGTCTTCTGGGCGAACATGGATGGCACAGCCGGGGTCTCGGTGCCAAAGTTCTGTGGCTCCGATCTGTGAAACAAAAACCGGGGAATATGGTTATGTGTCACAATAGGGGGCACCCTTGCAAAACAAGGGTGTTCCTTTGGATTCCTTAAAACCGTGACCTCCCCCCTCCCACAAAAAAAAAACAAGAATTAGCATACACATACACATATATATTATATATAGAGCAGTTGGCCAACTTGGCTTAGGAATGCGTGGAAGTGGTGCGCTGGACACGTCTCCTTCTGGTGATATTGGCTGCCTGTTGTTTCTGGCAGCCCAGTCAAGAAATCACAGGTCTTTCTCACTCATTGGGGCAAGCTGGGGAGGGACAGAACGGGCAGTCGCTGCAGTCGCTGCAGTCGCTGCAGTCGCTGGCTTAAACAAGTTACCTAGTTGTGGCATCCCAGCTGGCTCACGTCGTTGCGAGTTCATAGTTGTTGTTGTTTTTTGTTTTTGCGGTATGCAGGTAAGGATTCCTTGGGCCACCTGCCTGCCTCAGCACGGTACAGAAAGCGAGAGAGAGGGAGAGAGCCAACAAAAACTGGTACCTCTCCAAACTGGTAACCCCAAAAGAATGAGTACCCTCAACAAGCGACATACCCATTTACCAAAGCGTGTGTTGTTGTTTTTGTTTCAGTTGGTACCCATTTTTTGTGGGCCTTTAAAGGGAAACCGACAGAAGAACCGCAGCCCTTTTCAGGCTCCAGCCTTAAGACGAAGGATCAAGAGATGCTCACGGGATGACCGTTAGGGAGCCCAGAAACATGGCGTTCGCCACCAAATCATGGTTGTTGTTGGGACACATTTTACAGTTTTGCAAATTGTGGTTTAGTGGTTGAAATCCAAATCCACTTAACTGCTAACAACAAATTGATTTTGCTTGCTCCCCCCTTTCAACGTCAACCAAGAAATAGGATTCATCGTATGGTCCATTCAAAGGGATCAGGTTGTCTTCGCGCTTTTTTTTTGCCGGGCCTTGCAAGGGACATTTTAAAAGGAGGAGGGTCCAAGCCTGAAAAAAGGCAGCCAGACCGTGGATGGTTGCGACATCCAATTTACCAAAGAAACCCAACGGAATGATTCGGCTCGCTTCACCAAATTTCAAGCAACGACCGCTGGGTTGGATCTTCAGACTTTGGAAATCGAGGTTTCCACTAAACCCACAAACAGCTAAACTTTTTGCAGAGGAGTCAAGAGCAACCAGTCGTGTTGCAGTGGCTGGTTTGCTTTTACATGTGTCTTCCATTTGCTTGAGACGGTTTGTTTGTTTGATTTCCCCCGGTTTTTTTTGAAAGGGGCACGGTTTAAAGAAAAAGAAACACAAAATCCCCGGGGGCTTCAGCGACTGGACGTGTTCGGGCTCCGTTGGCCTCGAGGTGCAGAAGCTGGGGCAGATGAAGGAGCACGCGGAGAGGCTGGTGAACTTTGCCGGCAGCACCCCCAAGCTCCGGCAGCGATTCGAGCAACGCATGAAGGAGCCGCTCGCCCTGCGGGGCGCCGTTTTTTTGTGTGTGTTTTTTTCTTGTGGGGGACGGCAACTGCACAACTTCTTGGAACAAGTTGGTTTTCTTCCTTCTTTTTCTGGTTGATCGATTGTTTGGTTCATTTTTAGGTTTGGGGCTGCAAAAAACAGTCCGTTTTTTGCAAGCCCATACCAAGGGTTGTGAAGTGCCCAACTTTTGGTTTTCC